CCTGCCGGGAGAGACGGAGACGAGAGGTACTTCAATTGGCATTACCGCCTGGTGTTTGTGGCTGTTGCCGCTATTCATTGTCCGTTCGCCTAATACAAAACTCGTGTTTTAAAGGCTGTGTGCTTTACAGAAGGCTCTTTAGTTTGTAGGTTGTTACGCCCGCATCTACACAATTAAGGTTACTAGCGTCTTTGGAGTATCGGCTTGGCGCTTTGCTGTCGCACGCAGGAGACCCGAGTTCGATTCCCACGTAGGGAGAACATTTTTTTCGAGTTTCTTGGTCTTTTTCTGCTTTGATTTTGTGTGCTTGTTGGCCCTTACAGACAGGTTCAGAAGTCCGCCCCCTAAATAATCTAAATTGTGTCGAACGGTGAATAAAAACACCTACGTTTTTTTAAAAAAATTAACCAATTTAGATATTAAGGAGCGTGTGTGGGTGGGTTGACAGGTGCTTTTGTGTGATTTGCTCCTTCTTTCCTAATTAACATCAATCGTCCTTAACTCTCCCCCTTTTCTGTCTATGTTACCCTTTAGAAAAACCTTAAATCTTGGGCACCTAATATATGACCTATTTGTATTGCAAGTGCCGTATAACTCTGATAGTGGGTGGTTGGCGGGTGCTCTAGTGTGGTTTGTTCCTTCTTTCCTATCAAACACCAATCGTCCTTATCTCTCTTCCTTTTTTTTTTTTTTGGCGTGTGTATTACATAATGTACTCTATTGTCGCATCTTCTGCATTTAAATGACCTGTGTGTATTTAGGGTCGGAGTTTGATAATTGGATCCTATATACTTCTACTGAAAGTATGGCCAATTGGTTGATAGAAACCGGCGTCTGTTGTGTAGCGGTTAGACGCTGAATCGTTGCCCGCAGTTCGATTATCGTGTGGGGAGATTTTTATCGAGTATCTCCGTCTATCTGCTGGGACATTGTATCCATCTCCGCCCGGGATGGCCCTCACAGGCAGGGTCGAAGCAACTCGTCTCCTAAATGATTTAAAGTATATCAGTGGGTGGTTGGCGGGTGCTTTGGTGTGGTTTGCTTCTTCTTTCCTATCAAACATCTATCGTCCTTTTCTCTCCTTCTTCTTTTTTGTGTTTGTTACTCTCTTGTAACACTTCGAGTCCTCGGCACTTTTATGACCTTATTGTTTTGCAAGTGCCGTAAAACTCTTACTAAAACTACTCAAAGTATGTCTATA